CAACCTAGATTCAAATTGATACAAAGTTTTCTATCTAAGAAAACCAATGATTTGCATTAGACTCATTGAATCAAATACAATCACCCACACAGCTAAAGCAAGCTTGGTAAGCGAGACAGTGGAGAGGAAAAACATAACTCCCCTTTTAACAGTAAGAAACCTCCAGCAGAACCATGCTCATTGTGAGCGGCCATCCTGCCGAGGCCGAACTGGGGTTCAAGGAAGACCAGAAAGCAAGATACAAAAAAGCAGGCGTAAAAGAAGCGGCGCGTCCCGTCCAGGTAATACACACCAGCCAGGCAGAACTAGCTCCAAGGCAGTCTCCCATGCCAGAGGTACGAAGAAATCACATTCCATCTCATTCACGGTCAGAGAACCATAGGACGCCCACACTCGGAGGAAAACAAGGCCGATCATCCAACCATCTATAAACAAGGGTGTTGATTGAGAAGCAGACGCACACTGATGTTTTCGATTCCAGGATAGGAACGTCACAGCTAGTCCAAACAGGTAACCAGACGAGGACAAAGCTACTCTGAGGAAACGCAGAGAGTGCAGAATGGTGTTGAGATTGAGAACTAACAGATATCTGCAGAGAATAAGGAGAGAACAGAGAGAGTAAATGAAGCAGAATGGAAAAATGGGGGGTCCCTATGTCCCCAAAGTCTAAGCCTATAGCAGCATAACATAGAGATCAGCTCTGGATAATCTCTGAGCCACTCTAACTATAAGCTTTATCAAAAAGGAAAGTTTTAAGCCTAGCCTTAAAAGTAGACAGGGTGTCTGCCTCACGGACTAAAACTGGTAGTTGGTTCCACAGTTAGCAGACATGTTATCCAACCCAAAAATATTAAGGAACTGGGGGACGTGAATTTAAACAGGGCGTGTTTTGTAGTTTACTGCAGCTGCAGGGCACGCATTAAAAATTTTAACTATTTACATACTTTTTTATTGCGGTGTCATCCACTTCTCACGCGCGTATGAGACACAAGCTGAGAACTCCGACCGCTTCCTCCTCATATCTGCGGACCCACCTGCAGAATGCGCATTGCCGTCCTCCTTTACCATTAGATATGCTATTATTCCCTGACATGTATGTGCTCTACACGCTGATACGGAACAAGGGGCAAAGCGAGGGAGCACCAGGGGAGTGATGGGAGAGGAGACAACCACACACGGGAGATGCAAAACAGGAACAAAACTGATCCAACCACTAATCAACGAAATGAATCATAATGAAAAACCCAATGTTGCTAGCATAGCTCGGTCAATGTCTGATTTTTTGAGATGATAAAAAATCGAGATGGCCAGAACGCACTTATCTCCCTCTATCCATGATGTCTTAGTAGGCCTGACGTCTCTCCAGTCCTCATAAACGACTATATTTATTTTAGCGGTCAACTTACATGACAGAAAAGCCGAGTAGACTAAACTGTTTGGTTGTAAACTCAAATTCAAAAATAATCAAAAAAAAACGCACACTAAAAGACGGCATTGGATCTAACATAAAGTTGTGAAGCTGTTTTGCTGAGCAACCATGGAAAATCAACTGGCATTACAGGCTGATTATAGTCATGTTATCCTTTTTATGTTATGGCTCTCTGGTGACATGCCCTTTACACAGGAGCTGTTACATTTTGTTTTTTTTGTGTTTTTGCGGCACAAACCTGCAGAAAAAACAACTGACTATATTTCCTTAATAAAACCCAAACAAGTCTGATCTTAAAAGTATAAAAATGTGTCTAACTGTGTAAATCCTCTGCTTAAATATGAAAGCAGTGTTGTTTTTTTTTATTCTATTTTTGTAATATTATAGTCTATGAAACTATCCCAGATCAACAAATCGACCCGTCTGAAGAACCTACTCAACCCAAAGCTAAAATGTTTTTTTTTAATAACATGCTTGCTTCTCTCTTCAGGATTTGTGGAGATTTTGCGAGTTGTAACATACAGAACCACCCACGCGCCTTTTAGAGTTGATCTTGCTCTTGTATTTGATACACGGCAGTCTACGGAGAGGAAACCAACTCTGCCATTATTTTACAACATAAACTACCAGCACACTAAAAAATGCTTCTAAATAAAAAATAGCATACATTCAATTAAAATTGCCCCACTACCTGTACCCACAAAATACAAACAACAAAATACATGCTTAATAGAAACATAAATTAATAACCAGCTATTCCATAAATCTGCTATATAAATAACTCTTTAAATTTGGCCTTCTCTTTATTTTCTATTCTTTTGCTTTTTAATAAATTCTTAACCTTATTTTACTTTTCTTCATTTCTTTCCATTTTATAATCTCACTCTATCATTTTTTCTAAAATTCTAACTTAATAGTTTTTAAAAAGTATTTTACATTATATGTGCATGTTATCAATCTCATTATTTTTGTTCTGTTTATTAATAAAAAAATTTCTCCTCTTAGTATTTATTTTTTTTATTTAATAATTTTTTTCTTTTTTTTTTACTAATTTTTTCTTATTTTTACCCTAGTTATTTCTTTGCCGCTATTTCTTTCTGCCTGCCCTTTTAACATTTCTGCCTGCCATTATAATATAATTTCTAATTACATTTATTTGTTGATTGTATTTTTGGTGGCAATTAATTGTATGCTTATTTATTTATTGAGCATTTATTTATTTCTGTATTTATTTTTAAATATGGCAGAGTTGGTCCTCCATATACAGCTCTATCTACAGCATATTTACATGCATGAAATGTCCCTTTCATGTTGCCGTAACTGCTGTATGTCAAGTTACTGAGGAAAAAATGTGGTAAATGTGTGTTCAGAGTAAACAGTACATAGATGTCCAGTACCTTGTTCGGGTGCCTTGACCCATTTATTTCTACTGTGTAGTTATGCTCACTTTAGTACAGCTCAGTCCATAGATCTATGATGGGTAACTTTTTCTTTCTATAGTTTCTTCTTGTGCAAATGCTGCAAAGCTGCCTCTCTGACAGTCAATCTCACACATCTGCCACTCAGCACCTGTGTCTTACCTTGATACCTTTCCTGTCATAAGGCCCCTCTAGAAGTAGTGTTATCATTCTTCTATCTCCTATTAAGTGAGATCACATTGTACGATGTATTATTAATATGAACTGTTTCACATGAAACACCAAACTGTGATAACTGTGATTAAATTCAGTGTAAACAAATTGCCACCCCTAAAAAATTCCTGCCCCCCTCTTCCCACCCCATAAATATTTTTCTAGATCCGCCCCTGGTGCGGGCGTGGCGCGGGTGCTTGGAGCGCAAAAAAAAAAAAGACGCTAAAATAAATTAATATTGGGCTACGAAACTAGTCCAAATTAAAAACTTATTATCTACGCTAAAACAGGCGAAAGCTTCTGATTGGAGTTCTGTAAAGAAGCAGGAGAGAGTTTTTTTATTTGTGGAACTTGAGAAATGTAAGTTAACAACATTAGGATTTCTTTTATTTTATCTTTTAATCAGATAGCCAAAGGCTCATTAAAGAAGATCTTTTATGAAATGAAACCAGGTGAAACAGAAACGTTTAAATGTTTCCTTTGGAGGAGTTCTGGAAGGACCCCGCCTCTCGCCCATTGACTGCTGGAGATAGGCACCAGCACCCCTCGCGACCCGACTTGGGACAAGCGTGTAAAGAAAAAGGATGGATGGAGTTCTGGATGGAGAATATTGACAGACAAAAACTATTTTTTTTTTACTTCTTAAATGCAAAATGTTTACATATTTTTTACAATCTTGGTATAATTCCTGCTCTAAGTGGGTCGCTCTGTCGGCTAAAGGCACATTTTAGTGGCCCTATACTCCAGTTTACGATTAATCAATTACTAAATTAGTTCACGATTATTTAAATAATTTGTTAATATGATTAATTGTTTCAGCCATAGATAAAATACATGATATTCGCTACACAGAGTAACAACAGCCCAGATGTACAACTTCTAATATTAATATTTTAAATGCTCAGTGTCAGTTCCTCTACTAGTTCCAGTGCACATGTAATTATAATACATGTATTTGCCGTCCCTTGAATGTATTATTTTGCATGATCCAGAGAGAGCATATTAGATTAAAAAAAAAATAAGAGTGGGTTTTACCTCTGCACAATTCTCTATCTTCAGAAGAAAACACAGGATAAATCCACATATTATAGACTATATTTGGTTAAACAGACACTGTCTTAGTCGCAGGTAAATTTAAATGCAATCCTTTTCAAAGTGGAAAAAGTCCTAATTCCACATTCATCAGAGCCAGTGATGCTTTAAACATTGATAAACAGCATCTAGTGCATGTAGTGCTTATAAGATTTGTATTAATGTAGCAAGAAATGCTGCTGTTCTCTTTTAACAAAATGAGCCCTGAAGCTCACATTAAGCATTAAAAAAGAGCATGCATATTTTTTGCAGAGGACCAATGAAACTGAAGAATAGTGTCCCTACCAAAGTTGAAATTAAACCTACTCCCTTGCCTGGCTGACTCAGAATATTTCGTTTTATAAAAGAAAAAAAAGGTTTTTGTTTTTTAGTGTACATGATATTCATTTTTTTTATTGGGACTAGTTTTGTAGCCTAATATTAATTGTAGTAACCGCTGCATTCTAGTGTGAATAAATTTTCAATGTTGTGCTCCAAGCACACGCGGACTAGAAAACAGCCAATCAGAGAGAGAGAAGGCGGAACTTAAGGCAGAACAACCCATAGATATCCATAATAAAGGCCTTTATTATGGATATCTATGGAACAACCAATGAGAGTTGAGTTAAACAGCGCAGCACAGTTCCATGCGCTGCTACATGAAAGGGACAGGAGAGACCAGGCAGAGGAGCTGCGAGAGGAAAAGAAGCCACTGCTGCAACAACTACTGCTGTAAATTATAAACATGTTGCTCACATCCAATTATTGGTCGGGACAATTAGGTCGGTTCAAAATTTTGGTAGGGACATGTCCCTATGGTCCCTATGCAAACCTACGCCCATGATATATATATATGTATATATGTTCCAATGAGCAAGTGAAATTAATATTCAATAATTATTATTTTATTTTACCGTTTACTGTTTTTCCGTTTATTTTACCGGAAATTAACGGAAGAACCCGAGCACAATGGTTACCTAGCAACCACTTTGATACAAAAAGTTGCCGGCGGAGAAGAGAAGTGATCGAAGAAGCGGTTTTTCACACGAGTAAAAATGTTTAACGGCGAGTTGATTTCGGAGCGCGTCGCCAGAGAGAGTGTGGAGAGGCGCCGCAAGAGAGAGATGGAGAGAAAGGAGAGGATTTTTAATGACAAGCTCAGGACGATGGGGGTGAGTCTCTACTGGGCAATATGTATCAGGTGTGACGTCACTGTTTTGTTTTTTTATATGTCTAGGATCCCAGCTCAATTACGTTACCAGAATCTTTATGGGATTATCTTCCACACACCATGTTTAACATTGTAGGAGGATTAAATTACTTTATTGTATCTAAGCTTTCAAAGTTTTATCATCAAGCCTTACTCACTTGTTATGCACACTAATTCTCCCCGCATAAAGAACAGTTTTGGAATAATGTCATATTACTACCAACAACAAAGCTTTTATAATAAAAGTTGGATTGATAAAGGTATTACCTTTGTTGCAGAATTATTTGAGAATAATTGTGCCCTTTTCAGCTGAGAAAACTTCCTGAGGTACAAAGTTTACCTCAGTAGTAAGGCATTTCTTTTGGAACAATAGTATTAATGGAATTACATTTTGTATTTATATGAAAGGTTTGCAAAGACACTTGTTCTAAAAGTTGTCTGAATCAATTTAATTGACAAGAGATTACCAAATCAGCATATAAGGAAGCTTCTGTGTAGCACAAGTATGGTGATATCCAAAGCAAAGTTCCTCTGGAATCCATGTGCTGTTATAAAAAGTAGAAAAGCATGGTTCACTTTCAGTACTTTGTTACAAACTAAATAAGGAAGCTTCAAAACTCTGAAAAATAAATCTATAGTTGTTTAAGGATTTTTTAAGGATTAGGATGAAAACTGTTCCTTTTCCTAAATTGAGTAGGAGACTATAATATAGTATTTTGTAATCTAGGCTCTGGATGGACAATGAAGAGTTTGTCAAGGATAATACTAAACACACTATTTCAAACTGTATCTTAGGATATTATAGTTAAGTTTGAATGTAGAGGTAAAATTCTCAGCTTCATCATTATTAATTTGTTCCTCTTATGGAGATTTCATATACATTTCACATTCTCAGCATGTATTGGCTGAGGAGAAAGTTCCAGGGCTCCCCCTACTGGTCATATACAGCACTACATGTGCTGAACCAAATAAAACATGATGTACTTAAACCAAACTGCTGGTAAGAAACATTGTTTATATATAAAAATAACTTTAAAATCTGTGAAACATCAAACAGTAAACATTAATCTGACTTCTAATGACCAAGTTTCAATCCCTAACACCAAGCATGCTTGTAGCGAAAGTGAAGAGGAAAACTCCCTTTGAACAGGAAAAAACCTCCAACAGAACCAGGCCCAGTGTGAGAGGCCACCTGCTGAGGCCGACTGGGGTTCAAGGAGACAGAAGCAGAGATACAGAAAGAAGCAAAGAATGTTAATTAGCTCCACAGGTAGGCCCGTACAGCCAGGCAGACGAGTTCCGAGGAACTTTATCTGTCAGAGGAGGAAAGAGAGCACAAAGAGTTAAGCATGGTTTGTGCTCAGAAACCAGGTCGTCTGCTTGTGTGTCACAGTTAATGTAGATATGCTCCCCACCCCTTACGCAGACACTCTGGTGCGCCTCCCCAAAATTGTAGATGACCAGAGACAGTGCTGCAGATATGGTCACAGGGAGGAGAGAAAGGATTGGTCACTTGTACATCCGTTATATATGCATATATATATATATATATATATATATATATATATGCATATATAGCAGAAATCACTCCTGAAAATTCTGGTCCGGTTCCAGGTGGATAAAGACGCCTTAGATATGCAAATGCAAGAGAAGAAGAGACAAGAGGAAGCAGCCAAAGGAGAACAAAATGCCTATGGTGAGTTTATTCAGAATAAGCCTATAGCAAAGATAAAGCCTGACTAGCTCAAAATAACCTTATATAACATTCATTAATATGCAAGTGATGCTTTCATAAATGGTGCATCCTGGTGAACGGTATATGTCGTTTCTAAACAGATGCTGCCATGCAACAATACAACAAAGCTGCTTGCCTGATCCAGAGAAGACAAGACAAGGAGAAGCGCAAGATGGAGAAGGCAATGGCCTCCTTCTGGCACCAGAACCAGCAGCCTTCGAATAGATGTGGGTTTGATTTGAACGACCCAGACGCTACATCTCAGATGGTTCTGGCCAACTTTGTAGGCGAGGACCCAGAGCAAAAGAACCGACAGCAGAGACAGAGGGAGCAGCTCAGAGCCTGGCTCATCCAGCAGCAGGAGGAGCAGGAGGAGGACAGGCAGCAACAAAAGCTTGAAGGTAGGGCGAATGCTGTGCTTAAAGGACACAATCCTGAGTTCACTGATAGTTTATGCTTCTGTCTTTCATTCTGGACTTTAGAGCTGAACCACGACCAGAGGAGAGTAGAAATGGATAAAGAAGCTCTAAAACTCCAGAACCTTGAGATGGAGAAGAGAAAAGCAGACAGCATTGCCATTACAACCTACAACCTAGGCAAGGTAAGATATCTTTTCATTTAGGTCAGCCCTTCAGTTACATGATTACACACATGAAGGTTATGTGGCTTTAAAAATATCAAAGTTTGGCAGAATAAGCGAGGTGTAGATAAATTACAGCCACCAGGTTTTTTAATGATGTCCACAGAGCCGAATTATATATATATAAAAGTCTTCCTCGGAGCTCGAGGGGAGCATACGCTATATTATTATCAAATTGATAGGAGCAAAACATATGGAAATTCATGCTTAATTTAATGACATATTAAAAAAAAAATCCCAATCAGCGTCCAGCATATGTTGTTTCTGCCCAAATATTGTCTTTTTGTTGTGAATTTATATAATAGGGATAACTAGGATCATACAATATTGGTTTGTATGAACTATGTTTTGTTCTCTACTTCCAAACTCAGCATCTCTACATCCATTCCTGCGATAAGAAGTTTGTTTTCAAGTTGTGAGATGCGCTCTTGGAAGTTTTGACTGGATTTGATTAAACTTTTAAGCCTCTGTATAAAATAGATATTTTGATGAAGATGAGAAATCTGCTTCCTGGTATGTGAAAGTACCGATAGTTTGCATCCAATCATTTAATTAAACAAACTTAGTGTTTGGGAATATATAAGAATTATGCTCTAATTTGTAGTTATCGATTTATCATTACCATATTTTATTTTGACAAACCGAATCTTCTCAAAGTTTTTTTCCCTGTTTGGTGCGATTGTAATTGAAATTAAATCATTGGATGCAATATTTTAAAATCTACAGCTGAGGCAGAGTGGGAAAGAATCAAGCCTTATCAATACTTTATTTAGCTTTTTTTTTTTTTTTTTAAACAAGCTTGAGGAAAAAGGTAATGAGGAAAGGCAGCGGCGTGATGAAGACTGTGTCCCAACCGCTGTGGGGGTCCCTGGCCTTTGTCCCAGTGATGACAGGAGACCTCAGCCTGAGACCCTGCAGCAGGTCACTCAGTTCCAGCAAGGCCAAATCGAGGAGAAGAAGGTAAGACTAACAACCAGAGAAACACCAGTCCAGATAAAAAAGTAGCTCATCTGCAGATGGATCTGGTCCTCTAGAGGTTGGAGTTGGAGAAGAAGCGAGAGGAGGACTTCTACAATAATATCCGACTGGATTCGGCCCGTAAAGCTCTGCTGATGGAGCGGCAGCAAGCAAGGATGAACAAGCAGCTGAGGAGACACCTGGACAGCTTTAATGTTCAGCTGGCACAAACCCAAAAACAACGGTCAGTAGCGTTATAGAGGAACCCGCTGTTAAAGTCTCCTCACTCCTCAGACTGATTTTAACTTGTCTCATTTAAAGGAAGCCAGATCTTAAAAGAGGAAACATTGAAGACAGCTTCTTCTCCAATTTCAACACCTGCAGCAGATGAGGGGGAATCACTGGAGAAAACCAACAGTTCTGCTGCAAGAGGAGCGTAAAAAAATAAACGGAGCCAATGCAAAAAATATTTCTCTTTTTGTCTGCTTTAAACATTTAAACCCTAGAGACCTGTTTACAGTCTGCCAGCCATTTAATATTATAAGCTGATTTTTCACAGCTTGCATATTTTTATCTGCATTAATTATAATAATAATAGTTTTAATAATAATTTATGTGATCATCTGATCACATAAATTAATAAAATAGTTCAAAATGGTAAAACAAAAAACAAAAACCTGACACACAGCTAAAGCATTCTGCCCCTATCAGAAGTCACACCATTAGAGTCCTACTGTAATCCTAATCCAACTCCTGCTGTTTTCAGTTTAAATTATAAACTATAAAACTGAACCCGAAGGTGTTGATGGACACAAAGGAGCAGCTCTATGACCAACAGGTTGCTGCTGCAGCTGTTTAAAGTGTTTCAATAAACGTTGAATGGATTCATCTCAGTCAATTTAGTCAGGATTAAATGTGCAAATGTTAGAAAACAAACAGATCACATCTACATACAAACCTTATGAAGGTTTTTTCTTTGACACAAACATAAACAACATATAAAATAAAGATTGTAAAACCAAATCCCTGTAAACCATTCTGAAAAAAGAAAAAAAAAAGTTTCTATTAAGAAGATAAAACCAGATTAATCATGAAATGATGTGTAAGCTGAGCATCTATTCCACTTCCTTTCCGCATATTTGATCAGACCTAATCCTCCTCGTTCTTCTTCTCTTCTTCTACAATAAAGAAGAGGAAGTCCTGGTCTGTGCCCATATTAGGTCAGACAGGAAGCAGCTCAAAGAGGACCTGCTTTAGTGGGACAGTTGAAACGGGTATGAAGGTCAGAAAAAAGTTCTAGTTGATTTTCAGAAACTCATTTTCAGTCACAAATGTGTTCCATCTCCTCTGCCACAGAAGCAGCGCCTCTTTCTGTTGTTCTCGAGACAAAGAACTGTACCTGAAACACAGATGGAAAAAGGTTCAGAGCAAGTCATGACCCAAAGCACCGAGCTTTACCCGCATCCTGGCAAAGCCTCACCTGATGGAGTTCATGGCCAGCTCTTTAAGGGAGCCGATGTGGGACTTTATGCCCCCGAAGCCCACAAAGGCTTCATAGAAGTCGTAAGAAAGACCAGAAGCCCCGAACATGGCTGGGTCATCAGAGCTGATGACCAGTGGATGATTTTCCAACATGAGAGCAGCAGCTGGATGGTTCCGTAAATCGTTCACAAGCTTTAAAACCTAAAATACAGTTCGACATAAATAAATTACAGAAGCACTGAAAGTTTCCATTTGTCAGAGACTGACACTCGCTCATAGATATAAGGTTTTCTTCTCTTGATTCTGGCTCCCAGCTGATAAAATGTAATATCAGAGTCACAAACATAAAGCTTAAAGCATTAATTTAATGTTACTGACCTGAAAAATAATCGGAGATGTGATGACGGACACCAAACAACAGCTAAAACAGCAACCATTTAACACAAATAGCTTTCTGATGGGCATTATTTCTAATATTTTAGCCATAAATCTAACTTACTTTAGTAACTGAAACTAAAAGCTGGGCCTTATATAGACTAATTATGCAAGAATCCATTCTATTTCATTTTGATGATTCACGCTTACAGTTAAATTAAAATAAATCAGGATTTTAATGGAAGGTTTCTACAGGTTCTGTAAAGTATGTGGTCATAGTTCTGAATCTGGGCTCCATATGGATAAATTCCTGCATCACTACATTGAGGGGAGAGTCTCCTCTGGTTTTTATTGAGCTTTTCAGAAAGCCAGGTTGCTTTAATAGCAGAGCTTCAGATCATCTGCATCCATCGTTCTTTGGATGGTTCACAGTAACACCATATTCATTAGAGCAGGTAATGGGATTTATGACAGGGTGGACTGGTGTTAAGACCTGCTGGGAAATAAGATCTGGATTATTCCAATTGTCTGTCCAGACTTTACTTAAAAAATAAATAAAAAATGCAAACTTTAACAGCATCATTCCTGTTGTAACCAGAAAAGAGACTGGACCAAAATCCTCTTTGGTTCAGAACCGGCTTCTTTCTAGGACAGTTGTAGCCCATGCTCTGGATCAGGCTGAGTTTTTTTATCCTGATTTTTTTACCGGAGTTGCTTCAACAATTGCAACTCCTCCAGTGCTTGTTCCCGTTTTTTCTGCTCCCAATCCCCACCCCCCACCCCCCTTCCACTCTATAAACACCTTTTGCAGCTTAGCCTCCTAATGTAGGGAGGTCAATGACTGACTGTCAAAAACTTGTCAAGTCAGTCATCTTCTCTAGCATTATGCAGGATGTGAGTTTATGATATGTTTAAATGGTTTGATGCAAAATTATAATTTCTCTACCAACTTTTTTTTTTTATTTGAGCTATAAGCATAACATTCATTATATTACCCTGTAAGGTAATATAATGAATAATACCTGCGGTCACGATCTGCTTTAATGAGATGCACCTGTAGTAGTTTAGCAGTTTCAGAGGATTCTGAGAGAAATGCAGCAGCAGTGGTCAGTGTACCTGGTTAGAGATGGGGCAGACCTCCACCGCCACCCCTCTCTTCCTGGATAAATCTTTGGCCACTGGATGCCGCAGCAGAGCAAATCCATGGCCGATACGAGATGTGTTCAGGAGCAGAGCATCTAAGAGGTTCTGATCCACCTCAGTGCCCTCAAGATCTGCACACAACAAAACACAACAGACACGCAATAGAAATGCTTTAAAAAAAAAAGATTCCAGTTAAATTCTGAAATAACTTGTGTTTGCTGGGATTTTAAATAAAGACCCTGAGTTAATATGAAGATTATATTAATTAAGAGGAAAAAAAATGTCTGAACCAACCAGACTTTCTAAAAAACAGAACTCCCCTCTTGTTAAATCAGGAATTTGCTGTGATTTCTTTTTTTTTTTTTTTTTTTTAACAATCGGACCAGCAGATAAACATTTAAACAGAAACAACTTAAAAATCAATACATTATCTTTAAATAAATTTTTTTTTAAAAAGTAGAAAAACAAAGGGTTATAAATATATTTCTAAAGCCAGGTTTAAACTCATAAACCAGGTCTTCTGCGTGTGTGTCGTAGGGAACGTAAATGTGCCCCCGCCCCCTCCACAGACACTTTGCTGCACCTCTCCAAAAATGTAGGTGACCTACACTGTAGGTGACCTGGGCGCTCTACACTATGCGTATTTCCTGTTTGGTACCGTACCAGCTTGTTTTGTTTGTATGACCGCCATTGTGGAAAATGACTCGTGAAGTTGGACCAGCTAGAAGAGCGAGGTGCGCAAGAATGCTGGGACCTTTTTTCCACCTGGAACCCCGCTCTTTTTCGCCCCTCATGTCCCTCTGCTGTCCCGCAAACTTGCCCCCACTTTCTCGGCCGTATCTAGACCCACAGCTAGTTCATGATTGTCCCTCATGCGTTGTGGCGTGGAATAACATATCGCATAGAACTACATAGACCACGCTTGGGAATAAATCAAAAATATCTGCAACAAGCTCATTGCGAAACACTGCTGCAGGAGCATAACCAGCCCTTAAGGCTTTGATAGAGTGAGAACTGTGATCGACTGCAGAAAAATGCAGCAGTGGAGAACCCTCCCAAACGTTACTTCAAGAGGTCAAAGAGAAACCCAGAACAAACCCACAACAAAATGAAAAAGATCTCTGCCTCGGCTAAGGTCAGAGGTCATGATCCAATGATCAAAAAGAACTCTCCTCCATGGAAGTTCCAAGACCAGAACCACTGCTGACCCAAAAGAATGTAGAGGCTCATCCCTCTTTCACCAAAAAACATCTGGAGGATCCAAAAGAATCAAGAGAAAATAATCTGTGCTGTGATGAGATGGAGGTGAGCCTTTTAGAATGGTATAGGGCCTGTTAGATCTGCTCTCGAACTAACAGCATCTATGAAACCAAACATTAGTCCATCAGACAAGGTGATGGTTGGGTGATGATCTGGGGCTGGCTTGCTTTTCTCAAGATGACTTCCTGTAATAGATGGGATTGTAATTTTTTCCCCCTCTTCCAGAACATCCTGCAGGAGAATCTGTCTTGTTTCTATCTTTGGGTAATAATCAATAATTAATAGTGAAGCTACTTCCCAGATAAATATTCAGCAGCGAAAACATATCTTTACATTTCATCAAAATAAAGGAAAACAATAAGTTTAAGTTATATAAGTCACAAAGCTGTTTTGTTGTAGTTCACTTGTTTTTTATGAATCTCAAATATCTTGTGAATCTTGTGATGCTACCTTTACAACTAGCCTGCGGTTGGATAAACTCACCCGTCTCTCCAGCATGGAAAAAGAAAGGAAGCTGGATGCCTTTCTTTGCAGGGAGTGACAAAGCATCTCTAAAGTACCACAGGGGTTTGCCTCGGTCTTCCCGACCCACCTGATAAAGCAGACCCAGAGTTTAAAGCTTTACAAAGAGAACAAAAACCTAAACCATATTTCGCTGAACTGACGGTTATGGTTGCAGGATCTCACCAGGTCAAAGCCAGCCAGGAAATCAGGAAAGTCTTTCTTTAGCTGCATTGCCTCTTTCACAGCTTCAGCTACTGCCGATATATTTGCTCGCCTAAAAAACAAAACAAAAAAGATCAGCAGTTAAAAAAAATCTTAAATGTTCTCTAAATGTTTCAGCACTTGGTGCTGACTCAGGGGATAACAGAGGCAGGCACTTCACCTTTGATGTGTAAAAATGATTCTCGCTCCAAAGAAGTCTGGGTGCGTCGACACAAACTGCTTGGTAATGTCCTGGTAGGTCTTCATGGTCCATGCTTTGTTATGTGTGCTGCCATCCAGTTCATACACCTGTGCACCAATGTTTGCTGTAACATCATATGAACTGGGCGGATCTGAGACAAATAGGACCACATCCAGGGGAGAGCTTTTAATACCATACCTCTGGGAGCATAGCACGCAGTTCCAGATACATGACGTTGTCCGTGTAGAACTGGGTCAGGCCCTGGTAGAAATAATCTCTGAATACTGGAGCATAAGTGACCAGACCCCACACGGCTTGGAAGGCCTGCTCGAACCGATCCCAAACCACGTCCTGACTGGGGTAGACTGCCTCCGGATCCCGGTCAGTGAAGAGGCTCAGGTTGCCCCTGATGCTGAAGATGATAAAGATAAGGAGAAATAAGGCCCATTTGGACTTGGGCATAATTTTTATGTTGGTTTATTTACAACATTTTAATGCATGGAGCTTTTAAAGTATTAAATGTCCAAAGGAGTGATTCAGAAGTAGTAAAAGTGTAATTAGTTTAAAGCTACAAGTAAAAGGCTTTCATATTTGTTCATATTTGTTTCAGTTAAAGCTGGACAGCTTTCCTGTCTATAAATCTCAGCATGCATTAATAGAACAATAAATTCAGTCCTTAAATGGAAAAGGGATTCCCTCTGTTTATCTTTTACTAATATCTAAATTACAGCAGCAGCTTATTCAAAGTATTAAAGCATGGACATCAAACTATATAAATAACGGTGAAAGAAATACAATAAATCTTTGAATTTAATAGAAAGATTTTTTCTGGCTTATTAATTCAGAAAATAATATATATATATATATATATATATTTATTATTTCAAAAATAATTTATTTTATTAAGGATTCTAGCTTTTATTTTTTTTTTTTATCAAAAACATAATAAAAAAAATACATCCACAGAATATTTAGAGTGATGTCGAATAAATGCATAAATTGTATTAAAAACAAAAATAGTTAGTCTATAAATACTTGTTTATAAATTTTTGAAGGGTCCAAAACATAAATATTGACATTTGAAAGTATTCTGCCTAATAGGAATTTTAGGTTCAAGGCATGACAGATTGCGCTCAGGTGTTTCCAGATCCCAACAGCTCTGTGATAGCTCTATAAAAATGGCTTCTTCTCTGCGTTACTCTCCTCATATTCAAGCCAAAAAAAGAAAAAAAGGTAAAATGAGAGTGAATATTAGTCACGCTTTTGAGTTTTGCTGCCAAATTCAAAAAGGAATGCGGCTTCAGAGGTTGTTGCTTTTCTTCAAAACTTCCAAGTTAAATGTTTGCTTTGGTAAGCTTTAGCATTACCGGACGTGGAAAATAACTCAGCTCACTGATAAAACTCTGATCGAGACTCTGCATCACACTTGTAAACGTCACATTTGCACTACCAACATGGCAGATTTTTTTCCTAATCCCTTTAAATAGAACATAACTCAATGTTCTACTGCATTTTGCACCATATTTATTCATTTTCTTAATTGCACTGAACCGAACCTTTCCATATCAATCCCTTTTGCACTGTGACTTTACACTGTTTAAATTCCGATCACTGCTGCACTTTATAAATGGTAATTTTCATTTCACTCTTGAAAAGCTGTATGCATCAAATTTTTTGTTTTGTATACACTCTGTGTATACAAGATGACAATAACGTTTTTCTAAGTCTAAGAATGAGAACAGGTAAGCAAGAGTGCCCCACATACAGTCTGGCCGAGAGGAGCTAAATTAGTAGCGATCACCTTTAAATACTGATTCTTTTGCTTAATATCCACTTGTTAAAAGCAGGGGTCACCTGTTGTCTAGATCTGTTGTGTTGACTATCTTAGCGCGAAGGTTCTCCAGCAGGACCCAGGGAGAGCAACGAGCCAGAGGTTTGGGCGACTGAGACGAGAAGATAAACCTGACGGACATGTTGTCTGTGCTGCACATGTAGCAGTGCGGCCGGTAGGTGACGTTCTTCACCAGCCACTCTACGTCCACCATGGAGACATCGTGGACATGAAGAGCTCCACCTGGCAGAGTGGAATTATAGTGGTTAGTGAAATAATTCAAATGTCAAACATTTGAGTCATTCTGGGAATCCAACTAATATTAGAAGCATTTGAAATAGTTTTTATACATAGAATTTCTATGTATAATTAAAAGAACTCCATCAGTCAAACCTTTAACCATTAGAACATGCAGCTATGTGTTTTTTTATTTTACCTTTAGGCATCTTCTGCAACAGCCTGAAAATGGGACTGGTCTGGATGAGATGTTTGGCTCTGAAGAAATGCATGGCTGGAGGAAAATCCTCTCTGGACATTTCCTCCTGCTTCAATTTAAATAGAAGAGCATCCAGCCGCTGCTCGGCATCCGTCAGCACCATCTGACCTCCTGTCTGCATGGAGGCCTCAAGCTCTATGAGAGCCTCTCTCAGTCTGGGGTCCGGACTAGACAGTACCCCAATCAGGCAGTACAGAAACAGGCAACACATAGCTGCAAGGGGGCGCTGTAGATGGACTGCCATCATCTGAAAAATAAAATAGATCCAATAGCAAGAGCCAACTCTACTACGAACTAAAACAAATACACAGACCTTGGTATAAACTTTCTTATATAAAAATGCTTACACTGAGCAGATGTGCTTAATTAAAGGTTTATAATTCTACTGTTTCACTTAAAAAGTTATGTATTTTTTTTTTATTCTTTTACTTTTTTAGAACATTCTTTATAACATACAAAAGAAATAAGTACAATTTTCAGTGAACAATCAGCCTGGGTTTAAACAAATATAATAATAATAAATGAAAAACAACTAAATAAGAGCAAAAATAGTAATATTAATAAAGTAAAGTTACACACAGCAGCGTGTAAAGGGATTACATGAATACTTTGAATTCAAAAAGTTATCTGTTTTGACACTCTGGGGGTCTGCAAGTGAGCTCTTTGTTCCTTGCTCAAAAGCTCCCCCATAATAATTATGGCTAAAAATGATACAGAACCAACTCATGTTTTGAAGTGTCCTTTTTATTATTATAATTATTATTTTTCTGTTATGGGACTGGAAATAAGCAGCATTAATTTCCTCAAATTATTAATCCACTTTTCAAAAATCTCATATACACACACACACACACACGTTCTGCTATCGTAGTGAGTTGACCATGTGTTCCCATTGATTTTCAGTCATTTTCAAACCTTTCTATGCCCTATCACTAAAACTAACCCCAAACCTCATCATTACCAATGCATACCTCACCCTAACCCACTGACATTTTAGCCCTAAACCTAACCATTAGCAACAACTGGTCCTCAATCTGATGGTGAAATTGGAAAAAAAAAAAGGTCCTCACTCTGATGGCTAAACAGATACACACCCACATACATACATTTCTCTTTTTTGAAAACTAAATAAAATGAATGTTCTTCATATTTTACATCTTATTTTAAGTAAATTGAGAAATATTAGTTTTTTTTGTTTTTTTTTCACAGATCAGGTCATGTCAGCAGCTGAAGGTAGATCAGGCTTTGATGGTGTGATGGGTACAGAGCCCTGAGGGACTGAAGGAGAAGCGATGCTGTTTTGCAGAACTGAAAACAGGTCCCTCTGTATCACCAGAGGCAAAAATAAAGCTGAGAAGAGAAGCCAGCTTCCTCAGCAGCTGTCTCAACCTGCTTCCGAATAGAAACTATTCAGTTTAAAAGGAGATCAGCCATTAATCTAAATATTAGAGAAAAGCAAGAAAAAATGTAATCATAAAAGTGGAGCCTTTGGAAGTCACTATTTGAGCACACGGAGAAGAAATGTTACATACCTGAGTGTTGGTGGTGCAGCGTTGATCTGACAGCAGGTAGAAGAACAAAGCGAAGCGGCTTGACGTTTGGTAAACAACTCAGCTGTGTGGTGGGGGTGGGGGGTGGGAGCCCCTAACGAAGAGCGAAGAGTTTCACCGCGGAGGGCTTTCTGGTAGGGTTGTCACACTAATAAACAGGCTGCGATAGCTACTGCTGATCACAGGGCAGCGGGCTCTCCTTAACAGAACACAGGGGGCTTAAGTTCACCCGGAACATTGACTGCTAGGCAACGAAGCCCCGCCTCCTGTCATGCGATTGGCTGATAGAGGATGTTGTTCGGTCTTTGATTGGTTGTTCTAAAGATGTAAACACGGAAAGAAAAAGGTTCTTTTGAGGGTTTTTATGATGTTTTGAAAAAAATACATTTCATTATAGATTCAAACATCTATACAGGAAGATCTAACTTGAATCTGATAAAATGCTATCAACGCGTATCAACAATACAGTATTTGAATAAGGACAGCTGAATATTTAAATGCATTTTGTTAAATAAATAAAAAAATTCTGCGATGACCAACGCTAATAATTCTATGGTTACGTGAATGCAGAAAAAAAAATTTGCATGCACCTGTAATAATGCCCCAACTTATTTACCTACATGCAAAGCACGTATGTACTGCAGAAAACTACTAGTGTAGATCACTCTAAACAAATGATCTGCACTGTGAAACATGATTCCTTCTGCATATCATTAATGCACAAATAGTTTCTGATCTATCAAATAAAACACATCTAAATGAGGTTGCAACATTACTAAGCAACCCTATAACTTGAGGTATAATTTTGATCCTAAATAGTTCCCTCTTCTGTTAACATCTTGTTTTTCCTGTTTGTAGTGTTTAAACAACACTCCTCATGAGTGTCTTCATTAGCATCTTCATTGCATGCTGAATTGGTTCATATTTTTTTGTTTTCAGTTTTTCCAACTTTTGCCTGAATAAAACAATTTTTAACTCGTGGTGAGCTTTGGAGGATCGTTCAGAATGCAGGCAGAGTCCTGCTGACAGGAGATCAGGCTGTGGACATTCGGTCTAAACCTTTCCCAAAAGTTTAATTAAAATAAGACACACTCGGAGCTGAGAAACGTTATTTATTTCTAAGGCAGTATAGAAAATATTCCAATCCATTCCCAGAATAATCCATGTTGGTCAAACAGGAACATGTAAACGTCATTTTAAAACCAAAGACATTTTCCCTTTTTCCCAAAGACACCACGCAACAGAGGTAAAGGACGACAGTTTAAAAAATATCAAGGGAAACTTTATATTAAAACAAGTCCAAAAACAATTTACAAAAATTCTTAAAAGAGCAAATAAATATGATTCACATTTAACCACGTCTACATTTTTTAGTTACTAGTGCAGAGAAATTACAGAAGAGAAGAAGGAAGAATCGGTTCCAGTTAACTGGTATGTGCACCAGTACAGTCAGACACACACGAACAAAGGTGACATCACAACCTGTTTAAAAACAGCACTGTCCTTCAGATGTCACACAGCAGGGATGAGCGCTACCTCATTTGATGTTTGCTGTTAATTATTTTTATAAGTCACTGACGATAACTCGTTTAGAAAACTCTCCAGTGTCTCCTGACATTGCATCAAAACAACTCAAATTAATGACAGTTACTCAAACTATGTGGGTTACTATAGCCCAAACTCGAACCAGTTAATTACAAACAGAGCAGAACTTGTCCACCTACTCCTCCAACCAAACTATGCGTAATTACATTTTCCACGATGGATTGGACAATGGATTTCCAGGCCAGGTTTACCTTGTTATCTAAAGGCGACTAAAACAACTGGGAGTCTGAGGAGGGAGGAGTGAAGGTGGACGGACTCCTATAGGATAGCACTCAGCAGCTAGATGAGGTAGATTCAGTTCAATACTAAACTGCACTAAGAGGGCTCTTAAAGGAAAGACTAAACTGCAGCACGTCATCCATAACAGGGAAAATGAGATGAAAAGCTAAAATTATGTCTGTAATGCAAAATGAATTATAATAAGTAGAATAAGAAGTAGATTCAACTAAAACACATTCTCAGTGGAAATACACAGAGCAGACAGATTTAAAGCAGGCAGGCTGTGTGCTCACAACTATAAACAGACACTAAAACCAAAGCTTCTGTCTCACTTCAGGTGTGCTGCTCCTTCCTCAAATGATTTATAAAAATACCCGTTTTCCAAATCTGTACACCCTGAGAACTTTACTATTAACAGTAGGAGGAAGAACAATAAGGAGAAACCACCTGGAGCTCAGCAGGGCCATGAAGGAGCAGTTAAAAACTGAAATTAGTTTTAGGGTTGGTTTCATTTATGTGCAATGTAACAGCAGGGAGGGTGGACCTCAGTAGTATAGGACTCTGATGAATATATATTTGACTGTTTTTTTCTTTCTTTTTTTTCCTTTTTTTATTTCTGGGGTGAGAATGGGACTGATAGACGACTAAGAAAGGCCACTCAGATTTGGACTTCATAGTGCATCAGAGAGATACTAATTGCACCATTGCTTCCAGGCCCTTTCAAGACATTCTTAATAATGAAGGCAGCTTTGAAAGATGCATATTTTTCTCTTAATTACTCAAGTTGAGAAATGTTTTTGGGAGTTGTGGTAGAAATAGACAATAGACAGTGGGTGGAGTAATCAGCTAGCATGTCCTTACATCTGCAGCTACGGTGATGCATTTCTGCTCTAAACATTTACTCATACATTCACAAAGAGGATGAAGGCATCTGGAGGGGTTCTGTGAGTCAGCCGCTCCTCACAGGACCTCCTCTTCTACACCTGAGTTACATGTGACAACCACAGTCCAAATCAGTAGCTCTGTTGAGAAGCTAGACTTCCGTCCATGCTGCGGCTGATCATGTGGAAGAGAGCCATCCAGTGTTCCTGAAGGCAACGTCCCCTGTGCTGGACAGGTTGACCTAGTGGTTAGAAGGATTCCCTTAAAAGTCTCAACGCTTTGGGAGGAAACTGCATCTGCTGCATGCTTCATCCAGACAAGAGAAACCCTTCGGTTTAGTCGTCTCGGCCACAATGAGCCGAGGGAGAAGAGGATTGATCCTCATGGCTCAAAACTATTTCACATTTTTATTCGGTTCTTTGTACCAGCTGGATGGTTGCTTCATATCCATCTGTGGGTCATTTTCATTCTGTTTGGGGAAAAGGAAATGGCTGCATCCACCCGGGCAGTACTGGACTGACGTTAAGGATTTCCAAAATTTTTGGGGTGTCTATATCAGCAAGAGGAGGAAAAAAGATCCAGTCAAACTAAGTCAGATTGAAAAAAAAGTTTCATAAATAAATAAAATAACTTTTATACTCACTCTGAGATTTCACAATCCTTGTTTACTTCCAGGACCTCCAGGAGCCGCCATCATCTGTTGTCTGAAATGAGTTTACACTTTTATTAGTTACCTCAGCAGCATGTTTGGTGCAATTTTCACATGTTGCTCCAAAGCTGTATTATTAACTGCAGAAACACACAGCTTTATATTAAACAGGACTCTTTATTCTCCAGCTACCATTCCTAGAAAAGGCAGTTTGTCTTTAAGAACGACCCAACAGTGACTAAATACAGGTAGGATTGTTAGTCATGTACATCTGCAGTTATTGTTAATCTCTTCTTTTTATGTTTTGAATCTATTAGATAACACTAATATACTTTAGATGACTTAAAATTATCCAAAAAATAAATAAACCAAACTACCCAGGGTGTGGGAAGCGCTCTGGTCCTAGGCCTCTCTGCTGAACCATCATGTCCTGAAAGTGCCCTCCAGCTCTGGGGTGTCTGTACATGGCCATGCGCATCTGACCGGGGGAGTAGGGCAACTGCTGGGGCCGCTGCAGAGCTTCCATCAGATGTGGGTGAGGTCTTTGCCCAGCGTAGCGTGAATCTGGGTACCGCTGGTCAGGATATTGTGTCCCGTCTCCAATTCCGCGACCCTGAGACATCATGTGAGGTGGAGGAATGCCGCCTTGTTGCATCCCTGGATGCAGGGCTCGATGATCATACGTAAACCCTGAGCTTATGTGCGCAGGACGATGCAGCTGAAGCGGCGGTGCGCCTCGATGGCGAGCCGCTGCGTTGTGGCTGTCGAGGTCAAGGATTTCTTTTGGGCTTTCCGGTGGGTCAGAGTTCTCGTTCTGAGCCTGCTTTGTCTGGCTGCTGCTACCTGGACCAGCCTGCTCTCTGCTCTCAGTGCTCCCCTCCTCTGAGCCTGCAGACAGCGGCCCTACATCAGGCACAGGACCAGAGGATAGCAAGCCAGCACCGATGGAGGCATCAGATCCCAGCGGTGACATGCTACTCTCTTTGTAATGACCGTTCGATCTTGCGCTGCCTACAGGGAGGTATGCGTTGGCTGAGATTGGCTGCTGAGGCCGGTAGGGAGACTGGTGCCAGTCCTTGGGAGGGTAACCCCCTCTGCTGAGGGGCTGGTTATAGTATCCCTGCTGCGGGTACTGATGGGGCGGGTACATATTTCTGAGAGCCTGTGGGTGCTGCTGTGTAGGTATCTGGTAGTAGGGGTTCCCTCCCTGCTGCTGGTATGCAGGGTGGGGGGCGGTGCTGTGCAGGGTGTTTATGGGCTGACTGTGGTACTGGTGGAGGACAGATGGAGGCTTATTCACATTGGTCTGGTTGTAGTGTGGATGTAGAGAGCTTCCTGTACTATAATGGCCCATAGCTCCATTGAGCTGACTTTGGGAGTGAGGAGGCCCTGCTGGACTATAACTGGTGGGTGGGGCTCTTTGAACCTCCACACCCCCGTTACCCACCATGGACTGGGTCCGAGTGTGATTTGGGCTGAAAGCCTGCTGTTTATAAATACTGGTTGGTGGTCCGGGGGACATCATGGCATGTTGTGGGGAAATGGCAGCACCCTCTCTGTCCGGCCTGCTGGCTCTTTGATCTCTGTGTTCTGCTGGGAAGGGCTGGGCAGGTAATAAGGTGGCAGGATGGCTGGGGGGCAAAGAGGGGAGAGGGGCAGGCTGCACTGTCTCACCAGTTGTGTGCGAGATCCCATGCATGGGGGGGTTCTGTGTGGAAAACTGTGGAGAGCCTGTGTGAGGGGTGTGATGAGAAGGTGCAGATGAGCTGTGTTGCTCTGAGATGGGAGGCTGGGCAGAGCTCTCAATGTGACTTTGAGTGAGGCTTATCTGTGGTTTGGAGGCGTTTTGTTTTTCTTCACTTTGCTGGTGAGTGTGTTCCTGCTTCTCTGATGTGTGCAGAGAGGAAGTCAGAGATCCAGAAACATGCAGTGGCTGTACATTGTGCTGTGGACTGCTCAGTGCATGCTCTGGGTGCATTTGTGCGACAGTCTCGGTGGAGCTGGTTGTAGCAGCGGTGATGTGGGTTAAAGGTGGGGTGGTCTGATTGAGACGCTGTCCAAGAACCTCCTGCCTGGAACTCTCAGATGAAATTGTTGGCTCTGGTCCAGGAGGAATTTCCTGAGATGAACCGCAATGTCCTGTTGGGCTCAAAGTGGTACGGGGGTCTGGGTTTATCGCAGAGACATTTCTTTGTGATGCAGCTTCATTAGAGATGTGTGAATCCGTTTTGTTCTCAGCCATTGTACCTGTTTACAAACAGGAATTAGATTAGGTTAGCTAAACGATGTGAGTCAAACAGAATATCTAAGAAGACAGAGCAGACAATAACCGATTTCAGTAAATCCAAAAACAACCCAATAGATGACATAAAAAGTATTTGGACTCGTTGAACTTTTGCCTACATTACTGGGATTTAGTGTAAATGATGTTTATTGACAAGAGACTTTGCAGAACCATCTTCTCTCTCCTCTTCCAGTTGTTTTCTAGCTTTATTTTTCTACCAACTTAGATCAAACATTTTGTGCATTGTTCTTTGCAAAATACTTAAAATTCAGTCTGACACAGAAATCCCACATCCTCCGTAACCGCCCTGCTCCGCTCCAGACCGCCTGCACAAAGCAAAGCCTACAGCCTCCGCTGTTCCTCCCATCTCGCTTCGCTCCGAACTCCTCGGAGCTCGAGGAGAGCATGGGCGACACTATTATTAAATTCACAGTAGCAAAACTTATGGAAATTAACTTAATTTAATATGAGAAAATTAAAACGCACCATCAGCATGAATTGCACGTTTCTGCCCAAACAGTTTCTTTTTGTTGTGGGTCTTTGTAATAGGGATAATTAGGAACATAGAAAATTGGTTTGTTCTCTACTTCCAAAGTCAGCATCTCTTCATCCATGCCTACGATAAGAACTTTCATTTGAAGTTTTGAGATGCACTCTTGGAAGTTGTTGTGTCTGGATTTGATTAAACTTTTAAGCCTCTCAGTGAACCATTTTTTTTTTTTATCGAGATCAGAAATCTGCTTCCTGGTATGTTGAAGTACCAATAATCTGCATCCAATAATTTATTTAAACTATCTTAGTTTTTAGGGATATATATAAGACTTATGCTCTAATTTGTAGTTACCGGTCTGTCTTTACTATATTTTAATTTGAAAAACTGGGTCTTCTCGACGTTCTTTTTTCTGTTTGGAGCAAATGCAATTGCAGATCTTGATCTGGCCGGACTGGAGCGGAGCAAAAAGAAATTACTGTTCCATATTTTGACGGTGAAGGATGGAGAGGACATATGTGGACAGTGACGTGCGGAGGAGTAGTGGTGGATGTGAAACAGTTTTCATTGATTAAGATGACTTTGCAAAATGCTCCGCAAAACGTACCTCCACACTATTTTAGAGAACCTTGTATGTTGCGTCTCCAACATGATTTGTTGACAAACTGCAAACAGGACTTGTGGTTTTCTTCAATTAATGGCTTTCTGTGTATCACTCTTCCATAAAGACCAGATTTGTGTGATCTGTGTGGTGCACTTTGGGCCAATTGGTTGCTTATCTCCTTGAACACCCTGACTAAGTTATTAGTTGGGACTTGATTTTATTTGAGACAGTGAATCTGGTTGATTAAACAAAGAGACTCAGTTCACACTGTCTCACCACCTTGAGTTGGTCAATCGATTAAAATCCCAAATAATAATAATAATAATAATCATAATAATGTCACTTGTGATTTTTAATGTGATTAATTTAAAGTACTTTAAGGATGTTTAGGTCATCTCTAAAATCTTATTTGTACGTCTTCAGTGCTGATCTGATGTATTCACATCCCTTATAGGAATAACTCAGGCACTGTAAAAATGAACTGAAGTGATGAATATTTAATCAGCTGCCTACTGGGAAGGATAATTACGTCAAATTGGGAAAAGCAGTTTCCCATTTTCTGGGCTGTGCTGAGGACCACAAATTTTTACTTTGAGTCCTGTGACGCTCTCATGCTCCTGTAAGATAGTGAAAAAGAAAAAGTCCAGGTCTACCTTTGAGATCCACGTCTGTCTGTTGGGAGGGCTGGCTCTCTACCCCTTTGTCTCCTGCAGGACGCAGCAGCTGAACCTCAAGGGAAGTGGGGGGTTGTTTGGTGGGGTGGGCTGGGTTGCTGCCAAATCCTGATGGGGCCCCTGGCTGCTGAAAGTTGCCTGTGTGCTGATGAGGGATGCCAGCAGGGGGTCCAGAAGAGGCTGACAGCTGCTGCAAGGCCAGCATCTCTGGGCTTTCCAGCATGGAAGACAAGTGAGTCCTGCCAGTTGAGTCTGGCTGAGGCATGGTGGGCTGTGAAGACAGGGGCCCCAGGGAGCTTGCAGACATTTGATGTGGAGCGGTGGGAGGATGCTGGGGGTAACCGGCAGCTTCTGGCCACGGCTTATGTCCCATCGGTGGGGGGATTCCACCATAACTGAAGCTGCGTTGGTTTGCCATGTTAGGGTCCTGCATCCGCATGCCATTCAGTCGGTCCTGTCCAGGGCGGTTCATACCAGGCCACATGTTTGAAGGCCCCATGCCAGGAGACCTCATGCCTGGGTAGGTGTGCTGAGCAGGTGCATCTGGCCCAGGAAACCTGTTGGCCATTGGATGTAAGGTGTGGCCCTCTGGACGCTGGTGGGATGGATACATGCTGGCTTCAGGTGGAGGTCCGGGCTGAAGGGCCATGGGGCGGGGGCCCAAAGACGGGCCGTGAGTCGGACCAATGTAAGGGCGCTGTTGTCGAGGCCCTCTGTTAGGATCTGGTCCCATCGGATACCTCATGTGATGCCCAACAGCCATGCGACTCTAGATTTAATGAAAGGATTATTGTAGTTAACAGCAAGGCACAGATATTTCTCAGGTATTGCCTAAATATTTTCCACTCAATAGGCACAGTTAAACCTTAATTTTTAAGAGGTTACCTGCATAGCGAAGCTGTGAGGGTAGCGGCTGAGGTTTGGATCTCCGTGTCTCGGGATGTGGACGGGGTATCCAAAGCGAGGATCCATTGCTATTCTTTGAGTGAACATCTGTGGGTCATGAGGTCCAGCTGGAGGACGCAACTGACGAAAACAGAGAAACATTTTTGTTTTTGTTATATTGGAAAGAATATAGCTAAAGATGCCATGTAAAAGTAAAAAAAAAGTTCCTGGGATTACCTGTCCTGGGTGGAACATGTGCTGCTGGTGTGGAGGCAGATTGTGAGGATGAGCAGGCCCATTAGTCCAGCGAGGAGGAAGCTGTGGTCGGGTCAGCCTGCTGTCTTCTGGCTCTGGCGGCGTGCTGCCCTTACCCTGAGGGTTTCTCTTACGCTGGACCTGCTCTGTAGCCTTGATCAAACTTTCCGGTCCTGAATATTTACTGTTGCGGTTCCGTTTCTTGTCCTTCCGCTCTTTGTCTTCGCGACTGATGTGGAACTCCTCGTCTGTGTCGGCGTCCTCTGATGGGAAGTGTTTGAGCAGGGCTCGGTTAAAGCAGCGTTCCAGAGACTCTGCCATGGTGGTGTATTCTGGAGACAAACAGCAAGCACTTATGAACTGCTGCAGGCTAAACTTAATAGAGCTGTCTAAATGAAACACTGCACAAAAACAGACTAAAATAACTTGAGCTAAAACAGAGCAGTTTTTAAACGTAGATTTCATTCATAACCAATATTCAATGGAGCAAATTAACTAATAAACAACAAAGGAACTAATTTCTCAAAACCAATCGATTGCTTTAAAAATATTGACCCGATTCCCTTTACTTGTAGAGCCTCTGGTAACTGGAGCTGAATCTTCATCATCACTCACTTTGCTAAGTTGTTTTAAATCAGCCACATTGGAGTGTTTTCCATCCTGGCTTTGACTAGGCCATTCCAAAACTCCCATATGGGTTATTTTAGTTATTGAAAAGGCAAAGTCACGCACCACTACTTTACTCTTTATAAAAGGGCTTGCTGCTCTGGTGGCTTAATATATGTTATTTCTGTTTCACAATTTCTTTTTGCTCCATTAGTTAGTAAACTTAAGTGTTAATTGTCTCTTTACCATAACAAGATCACAGGAGGTACAATATGCTGCGTGCATGCAGTAATAAGGAAACTATGGAGCAGATCGGCAGAGGTGTGAAAAAAAGAAACAGCATTTGTAAAGCGCAAAAAACATAGTTGTTAGGTTGTCAGGAGAGATAAGAAATGAGTAGTACTCTGAACAAAACACGAGGGTGGGTTTTTACTCAGATGGAAGTGAGTAGGTACTACCAGCAGATGGCGACGCATATGTGAATGCTCTATCTGCTGATTGTGCAAGGTGAAAATATTATTTTCTGGCTCAAAAAGGACTAAGTAAACACTTTCAGGATGACAGCTTGGCCTATATTGCTGTATTCTATCATGAACATGTAGCATTTGGTAGAGGTGCAGGAGATGATTGGGCCCAATCTACTGGTAAGCTCTGAATGCTGCAGAATCCAGGTATTACTGAGTTTAAGGTAACAAACTGATTTCTGTAATGTTTCATTTAGTAGTAACTTTGTAGTAATTTCTGTTCCTTTTAACCTACTTCATGTTGTCTGAAGGGTTTTGATGTGGGTGATTTCATGATTCAACAGCCCTGGCAGTAATCACAACTGGGTCTGCAATTAATCAAGGGGCCAAATACTTCCTACAAACGCTTACATTTTTGTGGGGAACATTTTTTCCCAAATTAATTAAATCATCATTGGTATTTAATCATTTTTATTTATCCGATACTGAAATTAGTTTGATGACTTGAAAAAAATATAGTGTAACGAAAGAAAAAACAGAAGGAACTTGAAAAAGGGTAAATCCTTTCATCCAACAGAGTCGATTCCTCATAAACTGTGTAAATTGAGGTGAGTATCACAGATTCAGAGGACTCAGCCTCATCCTATCCAAATGACCAGGTCAGAGGGCTTCGGCTGACCCCCCGTCTCTCCAGCCTCTAGCTTCTTTTCCTCCTGCTGCTCACCCCCGCCCCAGGCCCTGCTACATCTCTCCTCCCCCGTCCATCCCTGGGGAGAGCATTCAGCTGGATGGATGGCTCCAGACAGGGCGCTTAGGGCCTGGAATGTTCCTCTGGCACTGCAGGGCCGGGGTTCCCTTGAGCACTGAAATGCAACTCAATCACTCCCCATTAATCACTGTCAAGGCTGCCCTGGCCACGGCACCAACACAGCACCATGTCCGTCCCCTCTTTCTGAAGCGCTCGAACCAACAATCCTCCCCTGAGAAACATCTTCACACTCCTTTCTCACAGCAACAGATTCTGATGCATTTCATTGAACAACATGTAGGTGTTTGTGTAACTGAAAAATTACCGCTGTCTTCTCCGTTGTATTCAACACAGTTTTCAAACATGAGCTTCACATCAGCAACAAACTCCTCCTTGGCCACATATTCCCCCTCACTGAGCTTCTTCTCAATGGTGGACAGGTCCATGGGCGTCTGATAGAATGGAAGATCATCCAGGTCAAAATATTCAATTTATCTAGCAATATTAATATGATATAATATTCAGTGTAAATCTATTTTAATTCCTAAATGAAGACGACGTACCTGGATAATCTCATGGTAGTTTGGGGCGTAGGAGTCATCAACAGGCTCTAAGAACGGCCAGGCATCCTTATGAGCTTTCAGGGCCTCAAGCACTTAAAGACAAAAGTAGGATTGAGTTAAAGGTTGAATGAAAATTCTACCACAGACTGACATAAAGGCAAAAGAGGTAGATTATAATGAATTTCTTCATTGTGAGATCAATAAAGTTATATCTGATCTAATCTAATCTGATTATTACTTTAGGAACATACCTTTATAAAGAGCGGTGTAGTCCTCATCAATTTCATACCTGTAAAATCAAATATTGGAGATGTTACAATGAGTCCTTTCAGTAACTTGTAACACAAAGCAATGCATCATTGGAAAGTGGAGGGAAAAGTTCATTTTTTATTGTTTGTAAATAGGAAATCTAAAATGTGTGGCATCCCTTTGGCTGTAGTCCATCTGGGTCTTAACTTTGTAGAACCAATCAGCTTTCTTTTAAAAGCTAAGGATAAAAGGAGTCTGAGCATCCATTTAGAAATGATGGTGCTAAATCAAAGCCACATTTCCAACTTGACTTTGCCTGGTCCATTCTAACTCATGAATATGTTGTTATGAACATGTTGAATATGAAAATGGCGCTGTCCTTAGAGGGCTGTAGTTTGACACCCTTGATCTAAAAAGCTACTGTTCTGGCTAAAAGTTCTGGGCTCTTGTTTCAATTCAATTCAGTTTATTTTTATAGCTCCAATTCACAGCACATGTCATCTCAATGGACTTAACAGAGACAATTCAACCAGACCATACAGTCAGATTGGTTCAAAGTTTTCTATCTGAGGAAAACCAGCTGATTGCATCGACTCGTTGACTCAAATGCCATCCCTCACACTTAGCATGCTTGTAACGAGAGTGGAGAGAAAAACAGGAAGAAACCTCCAGCAGAACCAGGCTCAGTGTGAGCGGCCATCTGCTGAGGCCGACTGGTAGACCTCCACTTCACTCGTGTCCCTTCTGAAGAAACCATGTCCAAAGCATTATGCTGCGACCACCATTAGGATGGCATGTTAGCATTCCACAGCAGTGTTTTGCATATCTGACTAAAATAGGCCCAACATTACTTAGAATATATAAAACCTGCTCTAAACTGAACCAGAACTTCCTCCATGAACCGTCTGCTGGGTTCTTCAGTTTTTTGCGATTCTGGTTGTTTGCTGGCCAACTTCTGAGACCAGAAAAAGAACAGCTGCATTTACACAGGGCAGCCTCGCTTCTGTCAGTGAGCCCCAGGGCAGCTGTGGCTACAATGTAGCTTGCCACCATCAGTGTGTGAGTGTGTGCGTGAATGGGTGAATGAATGTAGTGTAAAGCGCTTTGGTCAAGTCTCCTAACTTGAATAAAGGCGCTATATAAGTACATGCCATTTACCATTTATAAAAGAAACACAGCTGTGCTCCTTTACTGTGATTCTGGCTATCACAGGGAAAAGGGAATGATTACACACCAGATGCACACCACATGATTTTCAATAAAAAGATTTAAATTATGAAAACCCTGTATCCTTTTTCCTTAACCTAACAATAAAATACCACTTTTTGATGTTTTTTCAAAATCTAAAGGGTCATTATGTAAACATATTCCAGGGGTGTGAATACTTTAGCAAGAATCTGTTAATACGACAAAGATTGAGTAAGTGGGTTCTCACAATTCTTTGCTCTTTCGTGTTCTTTTGATGGGAGAAGATGGATCCAGATTGAGAAGTTCGGGTGGAAGGTCTTTTCCTTGCGACAGCAGCCAGGCCTTCTCCTCGCGCATCTTTCGCCTCTTTGCTCGTTCTGATAGGATGTAAATAACACAGTCCTCTGTTAGATCCACAAATTAATAAAAAGTATTTAAAAAAACAAAAACAAAAACACTACAAAACATCCATCTTCAAAGGCTTCAGAAAAACACTGATTAGTTCTTCAGGCTTTGAAGATAAAGTTTAAACCGTCCATAGAGGTTCTTTGAGGCTGCCAGCATGGCCAATGAAAACCAGGCTCACACTGTCAGAGACAACAGCAACTCAAATAAGTTAAAAGAGAATAGTTCATCTGTCCCCTTATTCAGGTCCAGTTGATGAAAAGAGACGAACAGAGAGAGCAGATGTGTATCACTGCTTTAGCTTTCAACATGAAAGGCAGAGCAGTCTGCCAGACCCCTGGCCGGGCAGATTAAATATGTCTGAGGGAGAATATCTACACATGCAGTCCACAGAGTGTAGCCTAGATCCTGCTGCTCATCTATGGTAACATTACTGAGGCTTGTTCGCTGAGGAACAATCAGCAGTTCATTAAGCCTTGATAGATGACAGCAGAAGAAGTGGAAAAAGAAGAGATCCCCTAATTGGAGGCTTTTCCACTCCCTCTCACAATCTGAGTGCTGCTCATAAATCAAACCTGCATGTTATTCCAGCTCGCAGGGAATAAACCACAGCAATGGAGATGGGAAGGGGTATGAATAAGGGGCCTATTGCAGTCTTTTAATAAAGCTTCACCATTCAGTTCCCTGATTAGTTGGTGTGAGTCTGATTTCTGCAGATCCAGCTGTGGTGTGAGGGGGCTCTATCTCTGTATTTGTGATCCAGCAGTCCACCTTACCCTCCACAGCTTTGATCTTCTCCAACTTCTCCCTCTGTTGCTGTTCCTGCAGGAGCCGCTCCTCTTCCCGGCGCTGCTCGGCCAGCAGAACCTGCCGGTCCAGTTCTTCATCTTTCCTCCTCTCCTCCTCTGATCGGGCCTTCAGATTGTCCTGGATATACAAACATGAGTGTTTTACTTCCCTCTGCACGCAGAGTGTCTGTTTTACCAGGGGAAAAAACATTGATGACTAAACATTCATTATAATTCATCAGAAGTATCTGTATGACGCACCTCTTTCTCATCTTTAATGGGATTCTCTGAGAACCACTGGGATGTACGGACCGGGGGTGGATCCAGTAACTTCTGTTTCTGCTCTCGCTCCTGTAGAAAAGAACAAACAAATAAATAAACACCATAAGCTTGGTTCCCTTCTTATAAACTGGACAGGGACGTTTCAGGAGTATCATCGACATTCAACCATGATGTTTGTGTGTTCATCCATGAACGGCAGGCCTTCAATCACTCTGGGATCACAGCAGACTGGCAACCATAAACCAACACATCCAAGTGTCTAGGGCCAATACTCCCTACTCTCTTCAACCCTTAACCTTTGACCAACATTTATGTTTATTAATGAGAATACATAGATAAGGGTAACAATGGCCAACACTACCACCAAGACTTAAGGAGTTTTTCTGCATTTCCTTAACCAGGAATGGACTTTTTTCCAGCATCAAGGGAAAGTCAAGTTTTAAAAACATCTCATATTTTTTCAATCACACCATTACAACAGATCGACTTCACTCTTTTGAGATACCAGAGGAGCCATCAGAGCTTTCTCCAGCTCTACAAAGTAGACAAATGAAGCAATCCCCCTCTTGGAGCAACAGCAGGAATAACTGTTACATCAGATCCTGTTTACAAGACAGTATGGAGTCTGAGTTAATCCAATCTAACCAAGCTTTCAGTCATTGGTCACCTCTTGTGGATCCAGATCCCTGCTCCATACGGCACGCTTTCTGCTTGAGACAGACTTAAACAATCCTCTTTTTTTGTTTTTTTGACCAACCATACAACCATGCAGGACTTTTGTTGGTCCTGATCTTCCTGATCCCATTGGGTCAGATCACCAGGCATCATAGACCTGGTTCTTTTAAAGTAAAAAAAAAAAAAAAAAAAAGATTAATCTAAACTAAAGAGTTAAACCTTCAGAGTTTTTAATTTTCTAAGTGATGGAATTAGATTAAGCATGGTGCTAATGTATGGAGTTATTTTTGTGTTTTTATTTAATTCAATTTAAAAAAGACCTGAAAGGGGGAAATGATAAATATATTCGAGAGAACACATTTTCACACCAACCTTAAAACTGATGTTACATGAGACTGGAGAAAAGGTTTTTTTGAGACATTATTGTGTCAGAATAAATGAACGATAAATCGCTTTTGGAAAATCATTTTCAAGGGAAAGAAGCTCTTAAAAAAAAAAATGTTTCTCCCAAATACTTTTTTTTTTTTGCATTCAGAATGCAAACATTTTCTCTCAAAAACTGATTTCTCCCTTAAAGTATTTTTTCTTTGGTCTCTGAAAACATACTTCTTTATAGAAAACACGTTACACTTTCAAATTGCTTTTTTCTTGAATTTAGAAAAAGTTCAACCAGCAAATAAAGATGACTGAACAACCCTAAGGATCAAGGCTTTTCCAGAACAATTATAAGACAGACCATTACAGGGCATCCTTCCTGCAAACAGTCATCAAAATCTAAGTTGGCAGCACTGTGGGTCTTGATGCTCAATTCCAGTTTTTTTTGTGAAATCAGATTTTTTTGTGTTGCTGTTGATGTTTCCAAATACATGCGACTTATATGTGATCTCTTGTGTGAACTGCAGTCATACAACGCAAGTGTCCCGCATGAGCAGTAGAGGGCGCAGTGACGTTACAGGTCAGCGTGCTCTGTGTTCACGGAAGTAAACACGGATGGTAGTGCCGCCGCGCATCTAGCAATCTTTCCTTACCATAAAAACACAATGTTTTCGATAGTTAAACATAAATACTGCTCCCTGCATCATCGTCTGCCATGGTTATTGTTTTTCTTGCCAGTTATGCGTAGCTAGTGGAATAGTGACCGTTGTCAGGTATTAATGACGTTCAGGTTTGATGAATGCGACCTGGCCGTTCACACAGGTTGCACTTGAAAAGATCAGATTCCTATCGGATTTAGGACCACATAGCCAAGCGGCCTGGGTCGCATTGGAAAAAATTGGATCTGTGTTGTTTAGACTGCCATGAAAAGATCAGATCCAGGTCGCATATGGGCCAAATTATCGGATTTGCTGCAGTGTGAACGTAGCCTAAGACAACTCACAGAAGAAACCCCAATAATATGGCATCAAATTTGCCTTTGTGATTAAAAATCTATTTCTGAATTGAATTGAAAACGTTCTTAAAGCTGAAAGGAATGAACAGAAAACATAAGACTTTAATTTAAACAGTTTAATTAGAATAAAAATCTTTAATTAATTATATCAGTTTGGGGTCATTACAGTGTACTGAATTTAGCTGAAGAATGAATAACCATTAAAAAAAACGGTGAAGCCTCAAAATGCATAAGCATCTCTGTTTTTGTATTGGTGTGGGTGTGTATGTGCATTTTTCATAGTTTGAAAGGAAAAAGAAATAAGATGTGGGTAGGAAGTAATGATGAGATGAATGACAATGGTGGAAAAAAGATAAAAGCAAAAGGAAAACCATCAGTTGGATGGTACAGCAGCCTTTTCTGACTCATTTTAGTCAGAAACACTGATGAGTCCTCTGGCTCTACAATTCAACCCTAGACAACCCTAGCCCTTCCAAGACACTTCAGACAGAGAGCCTCAGGTGTCGCCATGGAAAGGGTCGACAGAATCCTGCAGCCCAGCAGAGCTGTCAGTCAAGAGGCCCTGTTCTGCCTCAAGGTGAGCTCCTGCTGGCTGTCAGTACCACATTAAATGACTTTGACAGCAGCCCGACAGCCCGATTTCAGGGAGAATACTCTGACTGGATTTGGACAGTTTCCATAAACTCATCAATTCAAAAGGAGGATTCCAATAGAAGCTTTACTTTAATTCTAACTAAAAAAAAAAAAAAATGTTTCATATGCACATCCATGAGCACTACTTATGTACAAAAAAAAAAAAAAAAAAACGGATCAATCTGGGGACCTTGGTAGTTTAGATATGAAAACAATTCAAAATAATCCATCTAAATTAGCTTGAAAAAGAACAGCATTAATTGTGGATTTTGGTTAAATATTAAGCTGAGAGGAATGGAATCTGACAACTAAATCGTTCTGATAATGGATCAAACCCAAACCAACATCCATCAATTGTCAGTTGCAAAGCATCTTTGCTCCATACAATGCAACAGACTCAAGTTAAAATTATGGAGACAGATCCTAACAGGAGGCCACACGAACCGTGAGGCATGGTATGGGCTCATCAACCCAAATAATTGGAATCTGATGATTAAATCAGGACCTGTATAAAATCAGGCACCTAGGCATGCTTCTTTGATTCCCTATCTTTGTAATCCAGATGTGACATTTTATTGCTCCTAAATATTCCACTGCCAACTTTCAGAGGTGTTATAACAAAGCTGAAGGTACTGGTAATGATGACTACTCAGGTCAGTCCTAGCGGTAGGCCAGCAGAGCAGCAGATGCTGAGACCCATAGTGTGCCGAGGTCACCTACTTTCTGCAGAGACCATCGCTGCTGACCCCCAAACTGTATAGCTGCCTCCAGATTAACTCAGGTCAGTGTGTAGGAAGATTCATGGAAGTTTCCTATAACAGCTCCACCCAAGCCACACATCAGCAGGTGCAAAGCATGGGGTGGAGTTGGTGTAAAGCACACCACTTCTGGAGTGACAAATCATGCTTCTCCAGCTGGCCATCTGATGGAACAGTCTGGGTTTTTGTGTTTTATTTCCTTTGCATTTTTCAACCTGTAAACCTCTTTAGTCACTCTGGGTGTGAAAAGCACACGATAAAAGCTGATTGTTTAAACAGTTCTTGTCTGATTTTACTGGTCTAAGTGTAAACTTTGAAGAAGGATTTTCTCACACTCATCATATACTTTATGGACAGCTATTTTGTTTTTAAACACACAGTCCTGAACTACCCTCCATATGCATTTTGAAATTTCTAAGCATGCAGATTCAGTACTACCAGACCCAAATATGTCACACATATGAGTGCATGCTCCATGCGGTTGTGGCTTGCTTTTAACACCCCCGTAGCTTCTCTCCTACTCGCGTGTGGATCTGTTTGTGCGCAAGTGTTGACGTTCGTCACTTTGAGGGTGAAAACCACTGGGGAAAGTAATCCTCCTGTGATTGACAACTTCTAAGTAAATTCTGCCTCTCAGTACTAAAGTGTTTTCTTTCTGGTTGGTTGTGTATAATAACAGTAAAAACATCTTCAGGCCAATCGCTGATGTCTTCAAGAGTTTAATTCTGCCTTCATATTCAACAACCGTCCCTGTTTCAACTGATAATTCTATAAATGCAATGATGTGTTAAAAGGGAAAATGCTTAACAGAGTTTATTCAAGCCTCATTTTCCCAAACATACACAGTAAAGCTAATGTTTAGCATCAATTATAACTCTAAAGCATATGGCTACTGCTGTCAGATCACATTCATGACTGTGTTAAACTAAGTTACCAAATGATGACGTCACTAAACTAAATGTTTAACTCTATGAGAACGGCAATGCCTTAAGATGTTTTACTGCTTTTTATAAATGTGTAGAATTTTATCAAAGGGACAGCACAACACAAAATCAGGAATAAAAATAAAGTATGTAACAAGAAAATGACTGAAACACATCAGGCATGTTTGATGGAGACTGGTGCAGATGGGATTTCAGGACTGACCTTGTGCTCAATCATGCTGCTGATCTCAGGCAGAAAATTCTGGCTGATGACACGGTAAAGGTGGCGGTCCTGTGGGGAGGCTTTGTCCTTGATGCTCTCTGCCAACCTGATCCACTGTTCCTCCGTTTCACAAACAAGAGACCAAGTACCTCGCTTAGGAGCTGAAACACAGCAGAGAGACATTGGAAGTAAAACATCTGAGATGGATGAGTTTGAAAAGAATCAAACGCTCCCATTTCCTATGCAGTCACTACAACCTTCTGGTACCTTTGGATTTGGTTTACCTGTGCTTGGAGGAACATCTTCTAGCCCATTTTCTGTCTTCACCTTTGTTGCTTCAGATTCTTCTTCACTGAACAAAATAGAAAGTACGGAGATGAATAAACCTAAATCTATTAGCATATCGAGAGATGACACAAATAGCACAAGTAGGGCTGCAGCTTTCAGTTATTTTTTTCTACCAATCTAAAAAGAGATATTTTTAGTCATTTAACTTCCACATCAAACACCAGTAAAGGGTTGACTATATATTCAATACACCAAATCTAAACCAGGTGAAGCTAAAAACTGCTTCTTGAGAGGTTCTGAATAGGGCAGAGAAGGTATTTTTCCTCTTAAACGAGAATATAATATTTTTTTGTTGAGTTTTGGTTTAATTACTGCTCTGGGTTGGTTGTGTTTTCCTCAAAATGCATTTTTTAAAGCGTGTATACTGATACTATTTAATTACTGTTATTTGGTAATTATTTCAGGTATCAATTAATCAAGATTAATCTGATTAATTTCGGTTCAAGAACAGCTCCAAAAAATTATACCATTAAAACACTAATTTTCCCAGTAATTAAACAAAGAAATTAATGGTTTTATTCCATAGATGTCTCACAAACTTTTTTCAAGGTAATTATGCAGCTTTAAGCTTTTTTACCTTTCAAGTGGGCTACATACCACACTGTTGAATAAAATCCAAGACACGCTCTCCTCCCAGAGCATCAGTCTAATGATAATAACAGGCAGGTTTTTTTTTAATAATTTTTTCGACTTAAATCAGAATACCCCAAAAGTGCACGAGCGAGCATAATGAAAGCAACAAAAACTAAATGAAAAGGACCTGAGACAGGTATGGAAAACAGGACCATTCAGCTAAATCTGAACCATCGTACAACCCAATTTTATGGTCATCAAAAGGATGCAGACTGACAGTCAGCATCATCTTTCTCAAGATGCAGCAGTCATGGAAGCTTCTTGTTGTGGTTCAGTGGAAGTTTGAGAGGAAGGAAAAGGTGAGGTAAGGAATAGTGTACAAGCCACAGGATTAACCACAGCCTTGTGAGGATAATGAAATAAAATCCCATCACGTGCTGTTGGGTTTAGATCCAGATGTGGACAGAAGCTGGAATCAATGCTATAAGATCCATCCCACAGACGTATCCAGGCTATGGGCTACAAACCATTCTCATTCCTCGTGTCAACCCTTTCCTGAATCAGAAATAATGGCAGAACCGTTTAACCTGGACTGAGGAGGAACTAAGTGGACCATTGTTTGGTTGTCCAGAGTTCTCTTCTTTAGATAAAAGTTTTGTTTGCATTCCATTTGGAAATTAATGTTCCAGAGTCTTCCACAATCAATCCTGGTTTAAGAAAGATCATCATCTTATGGTTCTGGTCCATAGGTCATCTAGGAGGACATTTTAGAAAACTTTATTGAAGGTGATCATTTTCTACCAGGACTTGGTAGCCGTAAAATGTACCAATACCTGCTTTACTCACCATGGTAACAGCAGGAAACTGGCTTAACCAAACCCCACAGATTATCTCTTGAAGGGATCACAGACTTATTTTTTTATTTTTTATTTTTGTTAACAAACTTTTTACACTGGATGCCCTTCCTGAAGCAAATGGGATTTAAACAAGGGTCCCTGACATTACAGTCTAGTACTTTAATCACTTCACCATGAGGACTTTGAAAATATAAACAGTTTTATGCCAATATAAAAAAAAAAAAAAAAAAGAACGTACAAAACAATAGTGAAATGTAATTATTTATGTCAGGTCACACAGATATATGGGAAACTATGTTTAAAACTGCTGTGATAGATTATTAAAATAAAAACTCTACTGTTTCTATGCATATCTACCTCATATAGTCATCTTCAAACTTTCGTTTCTTTGGCGGTCTTCCCCTTCTCTTCCTCTCTGGTAACATTGGATCATATTCACTGTTTAAAGATAAAAAATAATTTTAAGGAGGATAATTAGCTACTGAATCCTTAACTGTCCTGTAAACATGTGTCAGGGTCATGTTCCAGTTACACACCGAAAGCAGCCTCCAATAAAACCACACAATACATGATCAGGAACATTTCATCATAGTTTGCATTGCAGAAAAAGTTGCATAGACTTACCTCAGCCTCTCAGCTTTCCTGTCAAGTGGCTCTTCTTTGTACATGCGAGTGCCATAGAAGTACCAGTAGAGGGCACCATCTCCATCTTGCCCCAGGGGCTCCACCCTCAGACTATCTGCATCTAGCCCCTACAGGATGAGGAGAAGGAGACCAAAATATGAAATAATAGTTTTTTAAATCATCAGCAATTAATGATTAATGTCTTTCAATCATCTTAGTATCTGATTGAAAAACAGCATTAAAGAATAACTTCACTGACACCTTCATTTAACCCATACAGACCAAGATACAAAGAAATATAAAAATGAATAAATGAGGAAGACAGTTTATTTACACGTCACACACCTTCAGGAGATCAAAGACATCAGCGGCGTCCAGCCGGTAGTCACAGAGTCTGTGCAGCAGCTCCACCTGAGCGCGCGGTGGGAGCGTGTCGAACGGCCCGTCGCGAAGCGGGTTAGGTTTTCCCTCTTCCAGCTCCCAACGGTAGCTGATGATGTCATCAAGGTAACTGCTAAACGTCTGCGGGCTGAAGAGTGAAGGAAAATTATTGAGTTTGTGGCCAAATAAATTTACAGAAAGATCACAAACTGTTTAAGGGCTTACAAGTTCTGCTAAAAAAATAAAAAAAGGCAATCCCAGACAGATCCCATTGTAATTCAAAATAAAAAGGCATCAACTGCTAATTTAATTTGGACAATAAAGGTATGAAATCTCCTTGTGGTAAGTATAAATCAGCAAACCTAATGAAATTTACAGAAACTCTCATTGTTCGGCATAATTGAAAATTTTTCTCTTCTAACTACCTAAATATATTCCAAGAGTTCTTCATCCAGACCCAAGCAATAATTATTAAGCCTGAACCAGCAGAATTTTACTGATCAAACAAGGAACCCATCTTAAAACATTTTATTTGTATTTTCCAAACATTCCTGATTCAAACCAGATTTTTTTTTTTCTTTGGTCTTATCTGATATGCTGTGGTGATACGGTTTACATCAACTCCAAGTCAAGTCAGTCGTTGTTGATCAGCTGCCTTCTAAACAGTACAGTAGGACAGTAAAGGCATTTACAGTCTTTTAGGTGGAGGTTTAAGGCATGATACTCTTTATAACCTGTTCAGCCTGATTAGCAGATCCTTTAAACTCCTGAAATGAAGGATTTATTTGTATATAAAGCTCAAGCAGCAGCATTTAAACTCCTTGAACTTGACATGGATGTTGGATTTGTGTTCCAGTTATAAGTTTGTTCAGGAATTAAACATAAACCCAGGCTTTCCCTCAAATACAGACCTGCTGCTGTCCTTGGGGCTGGGCTTTATCTGAGCATCTATGCAACGGCAAACAGAAAGAGTGAGCTTATCTAGAAGAGCAGCGTGCACTTTTCACACAGCTTCAGGCTCCCCCCTACTCATCACCCCACTCTCTCCTCCTTTCTGTCCCCTTGTTTTCCCTGATGTGCTCCCTCCCTGTGTTCCCTCCAGCTCCGGCAGAGCGTTTAACGCGTGCAGATGAAAAGGGCAGCTTTGTGAAAGGCCAGCGCTCAGCAGCCGCCCCCAGGATGCCAGCGCCTGTCTAGTCCAATAAAAAAGGCTGTCTTCCTGTAACCCGTTGCCTGAGTGGAAACACTGGATCCTGCATCTGTGCTCATCGCTTAACCGTACATTCATGCTTCCTTCTTATGTTGGAGTTGAGTAGGAGGCATACAGAAGGGGAATCCCCCTGACCAACGCATAAATAACAGATTCAAATATACTTTATAGTCACTTTCTCCCATCAAGAGAACAGAGTAGAGAAAAGTTTTGGTGGCTTTGCTGGTTTCATGCAGGAATCATCAACCATCTAAATAATACCACAACTCCCACCAGAATAACCCCACCTGAAATGAGTAAGATCTGGCTTCCACACATTTAAGGCCCTGGTGACTCAGACTTCCTGTGGAGGTTCCTGGGACCTGTGACTAATTTGGATCTAATGTCATGTTTGGGTTGATTGGTTCACTTCTCATACAGTGATGCAGTGAAATGGTTTACGCCGATACCGATTCCTTCTGTTTTTTCACTTCTTGTTGATTAAACACATTTTAAAATTAGCCAAAGTTAAGCTGAGTAAACAGTAAAAATCAATAGAAAAAATACATGTAAAGCAGCATGTGAAAAATTAATCCTCCTTTAACCCCGACAATATGTAACAATAGGTGTTGGAGTTAGATGTCAGACAGCCAAACACATGGAAATTAGGAATGAGCTGGTGGAATAAACGAGCATCATGTAAACAAGCCAACCAACTAGCTGATCATATTGAGCTCCAACTGAACAGAATTATATTCCAATTGGGGGGGTTAAAGCCGATTCTCAGTCCACACAGAGTCAATCTAAACACTTTTGATCGTGTAATTAGGATCAGGGCAACAACTGACCTGCCTGCATGTGAGTTGAAGGAGCTAGGGCTGAAGCAATTAATCAGATTAATACTGATTAATAGATTATTGAAGTAATCATCACCTAATTTAATAATAGATTAATTGTTAACTGGAGTGTAGAGACTAAAACTTGCCTTTAGCTGACACAGCAAAACCACTTAAAGCAGTAAAAGTTTAGTAATAGTATCAAAATAAAAAAAATATATAAACATTCTGCATTTAAGATAAAAAAAAAACATTTTCATCTGTCAATATGTTCTGTTCAGAACTCCTCAAGTGGAAAACTTTAAGTTTCTCCTGGTTTAATTTCATAAAAAGTCTTCTTTAGGGAATCTGATTAATAATTGAAAAAATAATCGACAGATTAATTGATTTGCAAAATAATCATTAGTTGCAGCCCTATGGTGAGAAACGCATGAGATGATACGCCTGTGGATGAACTCTGGAAAGCGATAACTTCTGCTCTCAATATCTCAGGCAGGTCCATTTTAGGCACTTACAGCATCCAGGACCGACACACTGTGTTTGTTGGGGATTTTGTTTTTCAGTTTTTTTTTTTTTTACATGCAGGCAGAAGTTCTGCTAGTGTGGAACTTCTGCAGTCGCTTTAGGGAAGTATGACAACCCTGTGCATGTCCATTTCCATTTAGAATAAAGCAGCGGGAAGTAAACACCTAATGAGATTTTTTTTTTTTTTTAAACCCATATCAAATTGGATTATTATAATTTATCATTCTGAACATATTTTCATAAGTCAAAGAATATTGTTTATGTAAAGATATTATTAAGTCTTTTAATTCTTTGTGTCACAATGCAGTTTCTCAGAATAAATGTCCTGTAATTTCACCACATTTCAATAAGATTTATGTCCAGAATCTAACTACACCTTTCATGAAGACCTTGTTTCTTACTAAGTTAGACTTCCTGATGTCTTTCAAATCACTGTCTGACCTCTTGCCTCAAGTGATTTTAAGATCACAAACTCACACATTCTAATAAAGGATTATATGCTATGTTATTATCAATCACAGCAGGTTACTAAGGTCATAGAATGGCAAAGCAGCCCCCATCTATTCCACTACCACCACAGTGTTTGACTGACAAACATGCGACAGCCGTTATGTTCAACAGTCAGCAGTGGTTTTAGGCCTAACTCTCCCCTTTTTTTAGCCTCTGCTTTGGTAAAATCATGACGTATGACCTAATATGAAACAGCAACACCTATAGAGCTTGCTTACAAGTATATAACAGCTATATCCCCCTCATCAATAGCACAAACCTGTTTGCCTGTTTGGCCTGCTGATTTTTGCCAAACATGCTATCTTTAAAGCTATTACACAATAGCTCCTCATTAGGGTTGTCAACTCACGTGATATCAGTGCGCTGGTAGCATCCTTGCAACAAGCAGGCCAGGAGCTCGCCCAGAAAATCAAAGTCTTGTTCATACAAAGCTTTCTCCAGCTCCTAGAATAAAGAAAAGGGGACACATTTTATTTACCGTTTGATTAGTTCTAAGCCAGAGGTGGATAATTAAATGCTGTAATGAACAGTTACACAACCATGTATGTATGAAAGCTATTTTAGGAAGACTCTATGAAGTGTACGAGCTGCAGTTACTACGTATATATAACACAATTAAGCACACATAACACAATATAAAGGCTTTTTCGAATGTGAAGCATTGTCTGATTTCAAATCCTACCACCCAGCGCTAATTCATACCCCGCATCCAACTATGAAGTCTGCTCGATACGTAACCTCTCCACTATGGTCTATTAAGACCCTGGACCTCAGAACTTTCTGAGTGTACAGACTGCATTTCGACTGCAGTAAAGGGCCAATTATGCTTCTGCAACTACACACATCAAATGTCGCTTGGGTCTGGTCGCAAACCAGTTTTACTGATATGCTTCTGCAACAACAGTCTGGAATTTCTAGGGACGCACAGCAGTTTCCCGCCAAAGCGGAAGGGGGAGCTTATTCGAGAACTCACGATAACTTTGGCGGATGGTCAAGAGAACAACTTCTGCGGCACAGGATGGGGTGTTTATTTTGCAAAACAATGTCTGACGCATCGTACAAGTGGTTGTACTTCCGAACCTCCTCGATCAACCTTTTGTTGTGGTTATCCATTGTTATTATTTCTCGGTTTTTGAAAATGGTGCGCCCCGGCACCAAATCGAGGAGGACAACCACACAGACAGCCGGAAAGGCCTACCAAGGACCAATCACAGCTGCTTTTTGTCTGCGCACTTCGGCTTGAGGTCTGCACAGGTTTGCGACCTTCCGACGTGTAGTTAGGATTTTCTTGAGGTGCGGGACGATGGTTGCAGAGCCTCTGAATGGGGGACGTGATTGCGCACAGAGACAGATTTGATGGTTGCAGAGGCTATACGTCAGAAGTATAAATTGGCTCAACACTCCCAGCCAGAGAGAGCCCCAAACTCTCAACTAAGAAAAAGTAGTAGCAGATTGGGCAACAGAAGAATATCTACACCTGATCCAAGCTAAAAACGTAAGGAATTGAAGTTCCTGCTCATCTACCAGGTAAAACATCACATGCTGAGGCACATCAAGGCCAGTTTGGTCACAACAGAAACATCCAAGCACAGCAGCAAGGCGTTCATTCTACACGTAGTTTAAAACTTGGCCAATCAGGAGGGATTTATGTCTGATGATTCTGCTACATTCAGAGGTGTTCAGAAATCCACTTTTCCACATTTTCACCCTCTAAACACATCTTTGTGCTTCATGCTCTCTTTCATATTGATCAAAGAGTAAAAGAAACTTTGATGAATAACTTGCATTCAAATAATATAGCTGTTTTCTACAGACGTCATTGAATACACTGAACCGATTTTATCACCACCCCTTGCACCAGTCCTGGGTTACCTTCATACATCCCAAAGCATGAGTCAGGCTTCTCACACTGGATCCTCTGTGGTGGTTCTGTTTTTTTTCTAACCCTACCTCTAACTGACTCATCAAACCTTTAGCCAGCCGTCACTAAACCTTCAGGCTGCATCATCATGAATCAGCCATTTGTACACTAGTTTGTAGACTAATCTCTACAGTGTTTTGGAGCCCATTTAAGCTCGGCGTCCAAAAAGGGAAGCTAAGGTAACACTCTGTGCTTTGAGTCATTGCAGTGGCGTAAGACAGAGAAGGCCATGAGTCAATATTCAAAGTGAGCTGTAACATGCAAACAGGATTATAAATAGTGGATTTGATATGGAAATCCCACAAACACTATAAGACAAATAGAGTCTTATTAAAATCCAGGTCCCCAGGCAGAATGTTTCTGCTAACCGAGCCGGAGCGGTAGAGACTATAGCATCAGGGAGAACTGGAATCTGTCAGTTGTCCAATTAGAGCTTCCTGGTTTGCCTGTGGTACTTGGGCTTCAGGAGTGACTCAGCTCCAGCCATAACCACTCTCCTGCTTCGCATTGTCTTTCAACCATTGAGGGTTTATGAAGCGGCAGTAACTGGCTGGGCAAACTATAAAAGAGCCAAAGAACCGAGGGAAGATGGCAGGCAGCAGGGCCCATCACAGCCATGTTCCCCTCCTCTATTCTACCAACCAACCCAGACGCAGCACCCCACATGGCCTCCCAGAATGCACTGCTCTCCTCCCTGATGCCCAAAAGCTCTGGAGCTGAACAGGACAGGACAAAGGGAGGCTGGTGCCTGAAAATGCAAATGTAGTTTTCCATCAGCCAAGTGTTCAGGTTAAAGTATGACTCCTGTGAAAAGGTTTCTGTTCCCTTACAGATCATTACAGCTTTAGTTTTTGTCAGACAAAAAGTAAATGTTTTAGAACAGCAAATACATTTTAATGGCAGACAAAGATACTTGGAGTAGATACAAAAAGCAGTTAAAACATTTAAAAACCATCTAAAACTGCATGAAAACATAAAGACCTGAGATTATTGGTTGTTTGACATGTAGCAGAAACGGCAGTCTGAAGATATTAAATGCACATCATAAGATTTTTGAGTGATATTTGTCTTCTGAAGCACCATCAGTCTAAGCTAACCGGTTAGGAGGAGAACTGCTTTGGGGGAAACGCACAAAACTTTGGTCAACTAAAGATCCAACCCTTGTGCTAGGACACAGCATACAGAGATGCTACAGTTTTTGCTTATTGTGGTGCATTAAATGTGTATAATCAGTTGTACAAAACTACAAATAGTTTATTTAGAAAACATAGATGTGTAAATATACACATGAACTCAAGACAATCTAGTATGTCTTTAGTGACTTCAATACAATTTTTGACGATGGTTGAACACATACCAACGCCCTGCAGAGGCAGTTTAAATGCTGTCATTAATATTAATGGGTGAGTATTTATGAGATGCATGCTGTGTAAATTGGAAGTATGATGCTTAAGCACATAGAGAGAGTTAGAAGACCTATAAAAAGATACGAGAGGAAGGTGTTGAAAAGAAAAAATAGGGTTATCACTAGCAAATTTGTCATTGCATGATTTTCTGATATTAGCGACTTACGACTGTTTGCTAACCTGTCCTGCCAGCTTCAAGACAAAAATTATTTAAATAATAGCTTCCATGTTAGATGGAAGCACGTTCAATTATCGTGTTGTCGCATGTCTGCCTCTTCCTGGAGGGACCGAGTTGAACACAGGGGTCAGCAAAGGTCAGCGTGCACACCTCCTGGCAATGGAGGCTAAAGGAAGCCAGGAGCCAACAAGTCAGTACAAAGAAAAAAAGGAACAGGAGGAGCAGAAAGAAGTGATGATGCCTTAGATCAGTTACAAAGAAACATCCCAAAGAGTTCTGAACTTGTCTCAGACATAGTGTAGATTAAATACAACCATGGTTTAATCTGTACCTGTGAAATTGTAATAAGAGAAAACAATGGTCATCAGGTACATATAACAACCTGCTGCAGGGGTACTCCTCCGTAATATGGTGGCGGTTCATATGATTGGTAAAATCACCATGTTAAGATTAGAAGCTGCAGAGGTAAATTAATCTTTAAATAACTTGTCAGATCTGATGGGCAGACGGATGGATGGACGGACAGAAGGATAGATGTTTACCTTTCCATAAAGGACAGGGTAAAGGACCTGGTTTAAGTTCTGAGGGAGGGTTCTGACCTGTACTGAAGTCTCCATTAGGATCTGTCTTGGCAGCATTGGCTGATTTCCTATTATGAATAATTTTGGGACCAAACAAAAAAAATTGACATGAAAGTATATAAAACCATTTTTTAAATTATGTGTTGTAATTAATAACAACTTCAGTTGTTAAAAAATCTCATGATGACCAAACCTAACCTAAACATTATTCTGCTGACAGCAATAATAAATATGAATTTTACTTCCAAGAAAGTTCTAGTTTTTTCTTTTAAAGCCCAATTTAATTTTGTTTAGTAAAGTGTCTAAACATTTTGACAAGTGACACATCTTAGTTTTCTTTATCTTTAGACAAGAATTTTAAACTTTAAAACATTAAATTAGTTTTCGGTCTAACAGAAGGAGAGGAGGCAGGAGATAATTTTGAGTTTAGGCATCATGACTAAAAAAAAGCTCCATCTCCTAAAGGTTCAATCTAAATCTCAGAACAACCAGAATCAGGTTATCTAAGTGCCAGAACAGAAACATAAGGTTTAACAGGGTTGACTTAGACAACTTTTATTGTCATTTTGTATACAAAGTGTACAAAACGAAATTTTCAGGTTTTTCTTAAAGTGCAGCAGTGATCAAATGTAGGAGAAAACATGGTGCAAAAACTCGAATTGATATGGAAATTCAGAGCCTTACATATATATGGTGCAATTATGCAGTGTTTTGGTTTTTTGGCGTCAGTGTGATGCAGAGCAGTGCTGTTTTTGACAGCCATCTTAGATTTAGCCTTAGTCTTCAGGACGAAAGCTATTAGTCGCACTTCAGTCATTATAATATGTTAAAGTTTTAGTCAACTAGAATTTTTAAAAGATTTTAGTCTAGTTTTAGTTTAGGTTTAAGTTGCAAAAAAGTTCAACTTTACAATTTCATATAACCAGATTCTTTGCCAGACTGACAGCTCTTACCTTGATACTACAATTGCTGGGCAGAAAACTTAGATTTATAGAATTCAAATGAACTTTTTATAAATTAATGCCCTACTTTATAAAAAAAAAAAAGTGTCTCACAAAAGCTGTAAAAATATCATATTGATGAATATAGCAGACAGACAAGCTAGCAAAATGTACAATAAAGAAATGTTTTTAGACATAAAAGGTTTCCATCGTAAAGCAAATACTTCCTGATTAACTATGAATTATGCATTACACACAGATCAATAACATCTTTATTGCTAAAAAAAAAAAGAAAGAAAACAAAGAACAAAAACATTCTTTTTTGGCAATTTTGGCTTTATTTTTGAGAAATTTCCCCTTGGTTTCTGCTGTTCGATTCAAAAATAAAGAGATAACCTACATAATTGCCTTGTAATG